TCTACAGCATAATTATTTCGTTCCCGGAATTAAACCGCGTCAAAATGATATTCACTCTCACGTTTATTAAAGCCAATATTTTTTTTATCATTTTTTTCCTTTTAATCATTTCACCCCAACCAAGGCAATAAAATCTCTAAGACTCATTGAGGTTACTGACACTATGAGGAAAAATACTACTAAGGAGGGAGAACAATAAAAGAAGAGGAATTAAGAAGACAGAAGATAACGATTGGAATTCCACTTAAATCTTTAAAAACCAAAGTTGACTGGAAAGCAAGTAGCAAGAGGTGTGATAGAATAAGCTGTCAGAATCGAACTTAGCGTTAAATCTAGCCATTTCACTGTAAAATGATGAGACCTTGCCGCCAATCTAGTACTGCGCTTAAATTCACAAAGTCTAGGTAGCGTAGGGGAAAGTTCATCAGAACAATTACCATGAAAGTATTTATTTAAAAAAGGCACAGAGAAGCCACGTTACAGCGGTGGGAAAGTGACTGAAGACGAGATGCCAGGTCAGGACCGATAACAATGCTGATTCTTCTTTCGATTTCATCAAGAACCTCTAAATGTGTGGCAGGAGCACCAAACCAGATGTAACAGCAATATTCAAAACAAGGACGAATGGAATGACTTATAAATATGTATAGTGAAGCAAAGACAGAAATGAACATCAAGACAGTCAAACACCAAATGACAAAAGAATGCTCTCTGAGTCGGAGGATTTGCGCATCCTTCCGGTTAATAAATGAATCCTTTGATATTAAATATTTAACATTTTCCAACCGACGGGTCACACCCCGTCGATAATAATAATAATAAACAAACAAACAAACAAACAAAAAAACATGCTTCGTGATCCCTTTGAAGAGTATTTAAGTAAAGTCTTTAGACGTACAAAACCATTACGGAGAAGGAAAGCAACATGCAGCGCGCAGAGCTTCAAAAAGATCCCATTACTCATTCACCTATCTTCCTCACCAAGCTTCGTGATAATTACACTCTTCCTTGTCAAGCTACGTGACACTTACACTTTCCTCCACACTTTCTACCTTGCCTCTTTTTTCTTACACGTACACGCGAAGAAATCACCTTTCTTTTCATCTTAACAAAGAACTTCAATACAAAAACACTCATACACGCTGAGAAAAATTTAATTGTAAAAACACAAAAATAAAAATATTTATATTTTTATATTTAAAACCTTTCTTACCTTTTGCTTAGTTATGGCTGTTTCAAATCCACAACAGTACTATAGATTTTGGCGAGAAAATTGTCTAGCGTGATACAAGGAAACCAACTTTCCTAACAGCGGACCTAGCAATTGATTCAATAAGTTGAAAAATTCTCCCCGGTCTCGCTATTTCGGTTTTTAATTTTCGGTTTTTGGTACAAAAGAAGACAAACATGGAAGTGCTCGCTAAAAATCAAGAGGCCGGTTTTTTTTTTCTCATGACACAGCTATTACTTTAAGTACCTTCCCTCCTCGGCAATGTTTATTGTTTTAAAAAGCGATAATTATAATTGTAATAAATCCTAAGCATATGATAAAAGTGAATTTATACATTTTTTGTTCTTGAGAATTTACAACAAAAATATAAACACTAGGTTAGTTTGTTTATTTACAAGAATAGTTTTATATTTAATTTACAACATTCAAAAAAAAAAAATAATAATACAATTGTATTAAGATTTAAGACTAATGCAATGTATTATTTATCATTTGCCAATTCATAAAGAAATAGATGTAAAAACTTATTATATTCGTAAATTTATAAACACTTACTAAATTATTGAAATATGCCAACCAACAATAATGAAATCCTTATTATTTACCATTTTATAAAGTGCGAATCAATTGGTAATTAGCCGGTGTTTTGTCAACCATTTCAGTAAAAGTGTAATAAATAGAGTTTGTTATTTTTATTTTAAATTCTCAACAACAAAGAAAATGTATAAATTCATTTTCATATGTCTAAGTTTTATTACAATTCTAATCATCGCTTTTTAAAAACAGTAAACATAGCCGAGGGAGTGAATGTAATTAAAATAAAAGCGGTGTCATTGGAAAACCGTCCTTTTGACATTCCTTTTTTTTTTTTGGTGGGGGGTTGTTGTTGTTTTTATTCTTTTTTTTTTGCAAGTACGAAAGTCCAAGCTTACCCCCAAAAGTATAATTTCTGGACTAATTTGCCACTTTCACTTCAGTTAACTTGTTGAGGACCGCTGTGTATTTGCGTGTTGTATTAGAAACACGTGTATATCTCCAGGTAGAATATTAAAAGGTCCAACTACAAGAAAATGTTCGGACTTGAATTAAATAAAAAGACAAACAAGACCGATATATATATATATATATATATATATATATATATATATATATATATATATATATATATATATATATATATATATATATATATATATAAAACAAAACAATTATACAATGGACAATAACATGTGTGTGTGTGTGAACGTTTGTGTCTGTTCTTTGGTGAATGTTTGTACGTACGTGTATGTGTGTATAATGTTCATGGCGTCTCCCACAAATGTGAAGACGCGGATCTTCTAAGAGAGCTTACATTGTCGTTGCTGAAATGAAGAAATGAAAAAGAGAACGAGGCGAGAAGTCGCCCAGTATTTATATTAAAAGGAGAATGACCCCTAGTGACAATTTGGGAATTAAGGAGGAGCTAACTCCAACAAACTAACTCATCTTTACTTTTACACACTCTACCTTTACTTTTTCTGCATTTTAATTATTTCTTGTACTCATATTATTATCGATGTAACTTTACAAAATGTAATTATCCACCATTGACCCCGCTATAATTTATTCACATGACAAAAAGTAAGAAATGGGCCATCCGATTTTAGATTTACCAGTCTTGCAGGGTTGTGGTTTAGATAATTACGACCAGATTATGAGTATCAGCCCTATTGGCAATATATCGCCTTATGTCACGAGAACAACTAACAATTGGTATATTGACAATATACAACAGCAACGCCTAAGACTGGTGACCGATAGTCGGTTCAGCAATTCAAACAGGAAACTTTGGTTTTGGCCGGTAGAAAAAATTGGTCTCCAAAACCTCGTCTCCAACACTTTGCAGACGAAAAGAGGAAGTGATTTGGTGACGTCACCCTCTTGTCATATAAAACCAGGGTTAGCCAAACTCGTGACCTCAGTAAACAGTTAAGACAGAATTGTGAATAATAATTTTAAAAATATAACAAATTCTTCAGTGGTGAATTTTAACACAAATCCGACCAAGCATGGAACAGCCGCTTCATCTCAATTTTCATTTTTTTTCTCGCAGCGAGTAAGTATTTGTTACCTCCACTCACGATCTTTATTAGTAAAAAAAAAAAAAAAAAAGAACGACAACGACTGTTAAGTCATGTATTCAAACCCAAATAATTCCAGGCGCTAATCCAGTTTATTGTATTTAAATGTTTATCATTTCTCCAGCAGCCTACTAGAAAAAATAATTTCACCTGAAGCAAGGCATTAAAGCCACTAAAGTGCAAGGGGTTACTTATTGCTAGAGAATATTAGGAAAAAACACTATTAAGGAGAGAGAACAATAACAAAACACAGAAATGAAAAAAACAAAATATAATGATTGACATTGCATTTAAATTTTTGACAGAGAAGCAAGAAACCAGAAGAGAGTTCTACAAGTGAAATAGAAGAAACTCTTAGCATTGAACTTACGGTTACATCTAGCTATTTCTACGGTAAAATGGTAAGACCTTTCTGCCAATCTAGTAAAGTCTAGGAGTCATAGAGGAAACTTCAGCAGAGATTTCTTTATTTAAATTCTGCAAGGTGTTAGTTTCAGGTTCGTTTTCTCAAGCATTGTCGGTGTAGAACCACCTCTTAATTGCCGTTATTCCCAGGTCCATTTCTTAGGGTCTCAGTATGGACAAATAGTCAACCCCCAAACAAAAACAAAACCTATGAAAGTATAAAAATACATTTGTATATAAAAAAAAATACCAATACCTATTTATAGTAAAATTACTAACAATATAGCAATCAAAATTAAAAAAAAAACTCTTTCATGACATTAATCTATATAATATCCTACAATTTCTCAAACTTCAATAGAACTATTAACATTGTTCGGACTGTTGTCCTCATCTTTGTTGCCATATTCACGACGTTTCGGCCGTTGTACGCTCCGGCTTTCTTCAGGTGATTGGAATTTATAACTAAACCCTAAGCTGAGAACAACAGTCCGAACAATAGGAATAATTAATTGTAAATAATTACAATACCTCATTTCAGAAATATAAACAGATATTCAATAAAATTACAACATAAAACACACATATCACCGCCTCTAGTATTTATGTCCAGACAGACATCTACATGCACAAAAGCGGAGTATCATCTACCATGTACTCAATTGTGAAAGTAGAATAATATATATATTATTTTTATTACTTCAAAACTTCCAAGAAAATTAAATTTCGGCATTAAATGACCCATAACTAGTTGATGTGCCGTTAAACAAATCAAATCAAAGCCCCCAAGAAAATTAAATTTCGACATAAAATGACACATAAAGGGAGTTGATAAATTAAACCAAATCAAATAAAAGTTTTCTTAGTTCTTCTTGTCAACTAAGCCCGAGTAAAATGTGGATTTATTTTAAAACAACACCAGACAAATAGGATCATACAGCACTCAACAACCTTGAGGTTTACAACACAAAAACGCTTTATTAACAGAACGAACAGTCCGTCACGAGGTATCGCACACAGTAATAATAATAATAATACAAAAAGGGAGGTAATCCAGGCCAGCTAAGATTCCAAAGGGAGTAATTGACTGGCGTGACATCTTTCTTTTTTTTGTGGGGGGTGTCTAGGGGATTAGACGTCTGTGATGTAGTCACTAAGGTAAGTTGGGCGTCTTTCGGGGCGGGAGCAGTGTACGGGTGTTATTGCTGTTTGTATTTTGTTAGGTATTACAAGCTCATGTTGATCTAGGCAACTAGGGGTAATGGGCAAGATTGTATCATCGTCTTCATCATGCCACCTGAATGGTCACGAGTAACTCCCAGCTTTTGGTCGTCCTGACTGGGAACTTTGTAACACTGTTCCTGGCACACTTTGTGTGTGCCTGCCCTTAATTGGGAACCGGCAAACTTCCTGACACTTGCCCAAACATCTTGTATAGCAGACACCAGGTAACGTTCGCGACTTCTAATTTTCGTAAAGTCCCCGTGGAGATAAACAATGTTACCTACCCTCAAATCCACGCAGTCTCTCCGAGAGCGGTTAGGGGCCCTACAGTGTTCACTACTACTGAGGCGTTTGTGGTGTTGTAGCTTGATCAAGTCCATATCCTCAAAGCTGATGCATTCACTTGTGAACTGGTTACGGTGGTACAGAATCTTCCTAGGTGAGAGTCCACATGAACGAATTCTGGCATTTAGTCTATTTGTGGCTATTACGAGGGAGGCTGATGAGACCTGTCCTTCGGCTGAATCCATTTTGAGAATCTCCTCCTCGACGTCCTGAACAGCTTTCTCTACCACATGGTTGCTGCTAGGGTTCTTGCAACTGCCTATTTCGATGGAAATATTATAGTGGCGTAGGAGCTTATCGCTTGTGTGAGCTTTAAATCCGGAAGCGGAGTCCGTTCTGACGACAGCGGGTGGGCTGTTGATAGGTCTGGTTTGTAGGCACGTTCTAAGGATGGTATCTCGCAGTGTATCCCTTTGTACATTTTGTATAAGGAGTGTGACCGTGTAAGAGCTGACCCATTCTCGGAGAGTGAAAATCAATTGGCGGTTCACCTTAATTATGTCGGCAGAGAACGTGAGACCAAAAGCGTCTGGGGTCTCCTCGCTGGATTGAGTAACTGACGCAAACGGAGAACTCCTTAAATGATGCACACTGATGACAGGATGAAACCGTTTCATCTATTCCCCTCCCTAAATCTAGGGCATAAAAGTATCGGATCATAACCTGGTGCATTTGGTGCCTGGTGGGTATGTTAGTAGTTAGTAGTACATGGAGGATATGTCGGAGGATGGTGATAGCGTCTCCATATGGAAGGAGTGCGTCGTTTCGGCGAATCACAAGCAGACCGTCCTGTGCTATTGTGCTGGTCTGCAAGTATCTTTTTACGTCTCTGATGTCCGTGAGGCGTTTAGACGGGCGTATGCCCTGGCCAAGGTGTGTATGTGTTTTGAGGTCTGAAAGCATTCGTTTTGTATTTTCTTCCCTGCTGGACAACTAGTGTATGGCAGTCTGGCCGATCCTCTGATGAAGTCTTCTAGAGATGTCTGAAAGACAGGAACGTCCCCCTGGTGGGAAACAAAGGAGCAAATATGACATGTAGGGGGAGTGCACTCTGTGGCGTTGTGACTGGCAAAGTCAGTAGGTATATTTGCTTTCTCTGCAAGGTGTTGAATGGAAGCCTGATAAAAATGTTGTGACTTCCCCACCAGTTGGGGTATATCAGGGGTATCGACTAGCCTCACTTTACCTCCATCACTTCTGAAAACGATGGGCTGGGGCCAGGTTTTCTCTGACATAGGGTGGTTTGAATTCCAGTGGGGTTCCATGGCAAATTCATCTCCTACGAAAAGAGAATTCCAGGTATATTCCGAGACAGACAGTAGTCCGTTGAGGTGGGCCTCTTAAAATGTGGGCTCGTCAGACCCGTCCTTATGGTTGAAGTGCCCTTGAGCCATACTTGAATTGGGTGTCCCCAATAAATATCTCATCCTTGGCTGGTCTGATGTTAATACCATTCCACCGCATGAAGGAAACTCCGGCGAGGATCTCGGTGTCAAGTTATTCTATGATAAGGCCCTCAAATGCACCATATCTCTCCAAGGTGAACCTTGTTACGCCGACAACACTGAGAGGTGAAAAGCCATCCGCCTGTCTCGCTGACTCGGAAGAATTTGAAATCCTTACACCTAGGCGTCTAGCTGTAGCGTGCCGCAATATATTTTCGGCGGCTCCACTGTCTATGATCACCTTGATAGGCCCTGTTGTTGGCGAACATCTCAATGTAGGGAGATTGTTTGGTCTTCACACATCTCAGGATGGTTGTAGTTTTTTCAATGATGTGTACTTCCTCCAGTGATTTTTTAAACTCGCGTAAATTATTGGAATTAGTTCCGAGTTGAAATTAATTCCAAGTTGAAATTAATTCCGCACCCCCCCTACGATACCTGTAGACTACCGGAACGAAAAGCGGTCGAAATGATATAATTTTAAGAGGTGTATATTAAAAAAAAATAAACAAAAATATGTTTGCCGCATAGCCATCTTAGAGTATTTTATCCGACGAATAAACTCATTTACATTTTTTCTTTCTTTTTTGCTTGACATGAGTTGTAATACATGTTATTCGTTTCCTTGATTTAAAGTTATTCGTCGACTTGTCGATATTGTAACAATATACAGAACAGTAAATAAGTTCTCACAATAAGCTCATTACAATTTCAGGCTTAATTGAACTCGTTTACGTAGAGACCATTTAGATCAAGCCGAATGTTGGCATCTTAAAATGTTCCACGACTGTTTAGCGGTAATCTATCTTTTCTTGTCTTCAGTTCATACGCAGTACAAACGAATAAATGTTTAATGTCATTACAATTTCAGGCTTTATTGAAGTCGTTTACTTTACCGGATAAAGTACAGACTGCAACATTTCTAAACGTTTTCGAAGAACGTAAGCTGGGCGCGGATATCTTCAGCAACATTTCTGTATTTTGACAGAAATACGCTGATTCATCTTCAGACAAACTATGCCTTGGAGATTCTAAGTGCGAGGAAGCATTCTCAGTTGCAATAAAAAGGAACATAATAAAAACAATATATTCACTAGTAAAAAAATAAATGATACGACATCTCTTCCAGCATAGTCACGAAAATGAGAACAATATAGCCAGTTGGATTGAATAAAGTGATCATTTGGAAGAATTAAATGATACGAGATCTCCTGCGGCAAATCGAAGTTTACAGCACTTGGTATTCCCAAGCCGTTACCCATTTAGGTACTGACCAGTCTAAATGCCACTTAACTTCGATGACCTTACGAGAATCTGTGTTTCAATGTCACAAGACCGTCACCTTTTATCTATTCGATTTTTTTATTTACTCGAATTTCAAAGACAATGACACTTTTTTTTAATGATTACATAAACTTTAATTTGTGAATTATAACAATAAATTACACTGGTCAACACGATTTTGGGTGCCAAGAAACAAAACATGTTTTTTTAGCTAATCTGCTGATTCCGAAAATGACCTTCAGTTTTTCATGGTTATCTACGGTTTTTGCTGTAGTGAAATTAATCCTTTTTGGAAAAACAATCAATTTACGATCTTGGCTAATCCCAAAATTTAGTTAATAAAGGTCGTAGAAACGCATCAATTTTCAGGTAGGCCGAGCAATTTATGTCAGCCACCTGAAATAAACTATTTTTATAAGAAAAAAAGTGTTTTTTTCCAATTTATCTCCAAAATTCAAATTAACTGATAAACTTTATCAATAATACACTTTAGTAAACCTGATAATTAAGGTGACATAAAAAAAAACGAAACCCTAAAATTTTCTTGGGATTCATAGCCATGTAATTACTAGTACATATCACGGTTGTCTTGTGAAATCTCCTTTATATTAATTAAACTGCTGTTAGTGGGATAGATCCTAGATTTGTGTGTTAAATGTAATATTTTTTGTAAGTTCTATTCTATGTTAGTCCCTCCAAAATAAATAGCGTTAGTAACCACTATAAGGTTATTTATTTACAAGATTATCCAAATATTCGTAAAGTTTACTAAAAGATTAATTTTATATTTACATATTTACCAAATAGTATATGATAATGATATACTTTCTACATACAACGTGTGAAAATACGTGCAATACTCTGCCCTCATCAGTCACCAACCAGGGGAGGTAACACAGTTTCGCTGGCTAAGGCGGTACTGACACCCCTGTCGCCACCAGCAGCTTTTGCTACCGGACAGGGAATTGTTTTCTATTGTTGACGTGTCAGTCTCTGCGATTTTTATGCTACTGCAAGATTTTCCAGCCTTATGTTGAGTAAAATCGTTTGCTGTTTAACGATCGAAATCGAATGAAACGCGTCACTTTGTCATATGCCTTTCCCCCACCTCCATATTTACCAAAATAAAAAAAATAAAAATAACAATCCAGCCTTAAAAAAATCGACATTGTTTAAAAGAACCACAGACTTCAAAACTATCTGGCTTTAAATAACCTGCAAAGGGTTGATAAACCGTAGAAAACGATTCAATCAATAAAACCTCTAAAATCCAAGTGCTCAACATTTGTTTTGTTTTTATTTAATCAAAAAATTATTTGTACATTTGATTTCTGTTTACTTTTTTAAACAATAATCCGCAGTTGAATATTTTTATCTCTTTCTAAATGTCATGCCTTGGAGACGTTGAACACATAAGAGCCACCTGCTACCTCCAGCTCTCACGGTCTTGGCAGAGCATCGGAACATGCTCCAGTGCCAGATTCATCTGCTGTAGGCACTAGCGAACGACGTTCTTTCAGTGGCGGCGTGGTCTACCGCGAGGTCGTCTCTAGTCTACAGATGACGGGTCGAAGTGGTAGACGACTGATGGGATGGTTATCAGTTTGTCACAGAACGTGACCGATCCAAAGGACAACGATGGTGCGAGGAATGCTTGGCTCACCGGCCCCATGACTGAACTCCTTGTTGGACACAAGATCGAACCTTGGTGGTCCTGAGGATGCGGGACTAGAAACAAAACATTATTTTTTAATTTATAAACTGAATAAAAAAACTGTTAATATTTTTTTTAATATATTTATGAACTTTCTTTTTATCGGACCAATTTGACTTTTTAAATAGCGTTTGACTAGACATTCCTTTTTATTTTCTTTTTTTTTTTATTACGAACATTGGGTTAAATTTAGATGGAAATTTCCTCATAAAATGTTCTGACGAAATTAAGTGATACAATGACGTTTATCCGCTTATCCTGTTCTTCAAAAGGAATTTAAAAGGAACATGAGCGGAAATACCAGTTCTTCAATTCATTTTGCTTTCGCTTCACCATATACAGAATAATTTATCAGGTGTGTACAAAAGTCTCCATCATTTTTTGTTTTTTTATTATTATTATTATTATTATTATCATCATCATCATTCGATTTCTGCTATGGACACACTACCTACCAAGTCTGCGGAAAGACCTAAGGCAGGTCGTGGTGTGTTGTTATGGCCACATTTCATGTTAATTTTTTTTTTTTTTTTTTTTTTTATCTCCGATGAAGTTGCTAGCGTTACATAGACAAAGTTCTCCTTAGTGTGTGTGCTGTGCTTAATAAGACAATTTTCTGTATGTCTCTTAAGCTGGGGTTTCCAGGATTCTTTCAATGTGTTGTTTTGTTCCATTTTTTATAATTCCAAGTGCACCTATTACCACTGGTATTATTCTTGTTTTCAATTTCCACATTTTTTTCTATTTCAATTTCCAGGTCTTTGTATTTTGATAGTTTTTCAAATTCCTTGGTTGCTATGTTACAATCCGCTGGACAAGCCATATCAATTAGTAGGCAAGTTTTTTTTTTCTGGTTTTTTTTGACAATAATGTCCGGCCTATTTGCTTCAATTTTTCTGTCTGTGTGGATGGTATAATCCCATAGAATGGTGACATCTTCTATTTCTGTAACCGGCGCTGGCCGATGTTCATACCAGTGTTTGCTTACATTTTCCAAAGTGTTTGCACATTGTCCAGTGTAAGTATTGCCCCACTCTATCGTGACGATTTTTATATTCATTTGGGGCAAAGTATAGAACATCCTGAGATTAGATGGTCTATTGTTTCTTGGTATTTGTCACAGAACCTGCATTTTGGATCCACATTATTATGTATGATATTTGCCTGAAAATTCCTAGTGAAAAGACTCTGGTCTTGCGCTGCAAGAATAAAACCTTCAGTTTCAGACTTTAATCCAGATGCTCGTAACCATCGATGAGTATTAACTTTATCAACATTGGGTTTATTTGCACGTTCTGGATATTGGCCATGCAGAGGTTTGTCTTGCCAGCGTTGTTTCATCTGTTCAAGGGCTTTATCCTTGGCTTTCTTTTTCATATCTTTTGCTGCAATAGTTGGTTCTTGGCTTCTGTTTTGATTTACTACAGAATCTACTAAATGTAAATGTTGTTTGTATTTACTGCCTTCTTTTATTATTGAATATTTTTTCTTTCTGTTTTTCATGTTGTTTCACTAATTTTATCATCCAGTCATTTGTTGTTTCCATGTAAGTTAGTAAGCCAATAGTTGTTGTCTTGTATGACAATTCTAGCTGAATAAGACCTCTTCCACCTTCTTTACGGGGTTGTTATTATTATTATTATTATTATTATTATTATTATTATTATTATTATTATTATTATTATTTCTGCTGGACACCCTACCAAGTCTGCGGAAAGACCTAAGGCAGGTCGTGGTGTGTTGTTATATTTCATTTCATATTTTTTTTTTTTTTTTTATCTCCGGTTACATGTTCTCCTTATAGTGTGCTGTTAATAAGACAATTTTCTGTATGTCTCTTAAGCTGGGGTTTCAGCTTTCAATGTGTTGTTTTGTTCCATTTTTTATAATTCCAAGTGCACCTATTACCACTGGTATTATTCTTGTTTTCAATTTCCACATTTTTCTATTTCAATTTCCAGGTCTTTGTATTTTGATAGTTTTTCAAATTCATTTTTGCTATGTTGTTATTATTATTATTATTATTATTATTATTATTATTATTATTATTATTATTATTATTATTATTATTATCATTCGATTTCTGCTATGGACACACTACCTACCAAGTCTGCGGAAAAGACCTAAAGGTCGTGGTGTGTTATTATAAAACATTTCATGTTAATTTTTTTTTTTTTTTTTTTTTTCTCCGATGAAGTTTGTAGCGTTACATAGACAAAGTTCTCCTTAGTGTGTTGTGCTGTAATAAGACAATTTTCTGTATGTCTCTTAAGCTGGGGTTTTCATTCTTTCAATGTGTTGTTTTGTTCCATTTTTTATAATTCCAAGTTCCACTGGTATTATTCTTGTTTTCAATTTCCACATTTTTTCTATTTCGATTTCCAGGTCTTTTTATTTTTTTGATAGTTTTTCAAATTCCTTGGTTGCTATGTTACAATCCGCTTTACAAGATATCAATTAGGTGACTTTCTGGTTTTTTGACAATAATGTCCAGCCTATTTGCTTCAATTTTTCTGTCTGTGTGGATGGTATAATCCCATAGAATGGTGACATCTTCTATTTCTGTAACCGGCGGGTTCGATGTTTGGTTACATTTCCAAGTGTTTGCTTACACAGTTTTATTAAGTTATTATTATTTGTCTATTATGTTATATTATTATTATTATTATTATTATTATTATTATTATTATTATTATTATTATTATTAAAACAAACCTAGGGTGTATGGTCATATCACATCAAAATACCGGTTCCCGTACGATCACCGAAGTTAAGCAATGTCAAGCCTGGTCAGTATTTAGATATGGGTGACCGCTTGGGCATACAAGGTGCTGTAATGGATAATGGCTCGGAATTGCTAATTGCCGAGTTCCAATTCCAGTTGGGTTCGTTACATTCATTGGGGATAGTCTGAATCCACCTGTTCTGTTCCAACTACGTCTTGTATCAGTAAATTATTATCTCCAAAGAAAAATTCTAACAATCTAAAAATATTTTCTGGCTTTAATAATCTGCAAAAGGGTTGATAAACGGTAGGAAACGAATCAATCAATCAAAAAAAAAAAAAAAAAACAAACAAAAACAAAAAAAAAACATTTCTAATAAGTATACAATATATAGCCTCTAGTTGTTAACAAAAGAAATATGGAAAAAAGAGAACGTTGGTAACATTTGCACACGCATAATATATACTTATGATAATGTTCACTTTCAAGAATCGTAGAAAATAAATAAACGAATATATATATATGCATCCATACAAATATATATGTGTCTGAATCCAGATATAAATAAAATACATCTGTAAAAAGACAATATGAATACAGACAAAAGGAAAACTTTTCTTTACCAACGCGTTTCGTTCTTTGATGGACCATATCAAGGCAAATGTCAGGATTTTATTTCGCAACATGTATTTATAAACAAAATTAAAACATTTTTAGGTTTCCAAATTTTTTAAATTTAAGAAGGCTCAAAAATATTCTTATGGCTCAGTGTAAAAGGAAAGGTAAACTATTCAGGATACTAAGTGATGTAATTTAATGCCTAATGAGTAGGCCTAAAGTATATATATATATATATATATATATATATATATATATATATATGTGTGTGTGTGTGTGTGTGTGTGTGTGTGTGTAAATATAAAAGTGAACATTGAAGTCAAGCATGAAACAGCCTGTCGCCTCTAAGTGTTGACTTCAATGTTCACTTATATTTACACACGCTCTGTCTCTGATATTGAGCACTTTATCCCATAAATATAGCACACCTTAAGACTGTATTTCTATATATATATATATATATATATATATATATATATATATATATATATATATATATATATATATGTGTAACACCAAAATTGTCCAAATCGTGTAATGGTACCAACATTCATACTTTGGCTTCCATGTTCAAAGTCCATGTTGTGACCAAGTAATTGGTTAAGGAATAAAAAAGCAAGCGGTTGCAGATAAATAGTGTATTGAACGGTAAATACTACAGAAGTGTGTTACACGACTTGAGAGTGTGTGTCGGTTGACCAGTTCTGAAAGGGGACATTTCAATACGTCTTCCTTTTCGCTTGTGGATTGTGAATTTTAAATGCTTGTACGTTAGTGAAAATGAAGAAAAATGAATTGCATTTACATCATTTGATACACTTTTATTTCTATCAAAGAAAAAAAGAAGCTGTATATACAGCAAAAAGACAATGCACTGTTTATTGGCAAGATGCCATAGTTAAGAGAACTGTTCAGAAGTGTCAATTTTGATCTGGAAAAACTCCTGTAATCTTAGGTGATGACGAAATCGAGACGCCGATTAAAAATAATCCAGGCAGCACGACACAGGACATCGCAGAAATACTCTACATATCCCATATGAGCACTGTAAACAATTAGAAAAAACTTGGATACGTAAATTGCTGCGTTGTTTTGATGTTTCACGTTCTAACAATATATATATATATATATATATATATATATAAAAGAAATATGTTGTAGTGGTTCCAACGAGAAAAAGTATGTATATTAAAAAAGAAGAGAAGAGAGGTGCCGCAAACGCAAACGTTTTTTTTGTAATGTGGATTTATTTAGAAAAATATTATGCTTTGTTTTACATAATTTTACGACACGTGTTTCTGGTCTCGCGACCGTCTTCAGGTAAAAGCGGAGATTTCCACATATTATTAAAAATAATTAATTTTTTCCTTATGTTCAATGTTAAATATTCTCGATATGAGACATTCTCTGTTTGTGTGTTGGTAATCCGAATTTCTTTCTTGAATTCAAGAATATATATATATATATATATATATATATATATATATATATATATAATGGACCCCATTTCCATTTGCAAATTTTTTTGCTCAAATAAAAAATATAACGATTCATTTTTTGAAAAGAACGAGCACAAGCGATGAAAAATAGATTGTTTACAACAATGTGTAACGAAAATACTGCAAGTGAGAACAAAGTAAGCGAACGTATCTACTCTATATGCCGATTTGCGCCAGGAGAAGGCGATGTTGTGTATCCGGTGATTCTGGAAGAACCCTGAGTATTACAAGATCCTGCAGAATTAAATGTTAAATTTAGACATGTATTTTTTCCAGTTAACGCAGCAACAGATGAAAAGCGCCCAGAATTTAACAATCGACGTGTCTTTTTCCATCAGGACAACTCTTAACTTCATCTCTCTTTGCAGACCCGGCAAATTGATACAGTTTGTTTGGAATGTTCTACTATACCCGTGGTACTCACCTGACTTTGTATAATATAACAAAATACGCTTATCGAAACGTCAGTACACTGGAAGCCCATAAAAAACACTGAGATGGAATCATTTACGATTTTGGAGATCAGAATCTCTACAATAATTCGACTTTTAAGACTATTAATATTAAGCTTTTTAGGTCTAGAGAATCAGAGCGTCGTAACTGCGCCATACCTTTGACCTTTCTGAGATGGAATCATTTACGATTTCGGAGACGAGAATCGATACCACAATCCTGATTGTGTTTAATTGCAACAATAGAGCTTTTCTACGATAGCTTACAGCGTAGTATGTATCTCGACCTGAAATGGAATGAATTATGAATTTTGACCGATAAACCTATATAATAATTCTTAAGTGGGGAGGAAATAGGAAAAGTATTGGTGAGTAGTTGAGAGTAAAAGAGGGTGAGATGGAGGAAATGTTGAAGGTAAGTAAACTAGACAAAAACGAAAAGAATCCAAGTGTAAACACACACACACACACACACACACACACACACACACACACACACACACACACACACATTATTACGGACAATTAGCGTAACATAAAATTTAAAAAGAAAAGATTATAAAAAAACAACTTGGTGTCTAGAACAGGAGTGGGCAAATTTTTCTGTGCAAGGGCCACATTAAAAAATTCACTATTTTATTGGGCCGCATATTAACCCAAAATAATTAATATTTAAAATAGACAAAAAAATAATAGGCTTTTAAAGAAAAAAATGCAATTAATTTTTATTAATTAGTTAATTTTAAGGTACTGTAGAAGATTCACGTGAAACGTATTTATTTGAAAGACAAAGTAACTCAATTTAAAGTACTTTAAAGAAAAAATATAAAGTATTTTTAAGTTGAAGATTTACATGAAACATATTTGAAAGACAAAAGAACCTGGTTTTAAGAAAAAACGTATTTTTGTTAATTGATATGAATTAGAAAACATTTATTTGAAAAATAAATTATCTCTGCGTAAAGAAAGAAAAACAATTCTTACTAATATTTTAAAGTAAAAACTTCAAATGAAACACATATAAAGTAATTAATTTAGATTTTAAAGTAGAAACTTCACAAAAACAGATTTGTTTGAAAACAAAGTAATCCAGTTTAAAGAAAAAATATTGCTATTTTGAAGTAGTAACTTCACATAAAACAGATTTATTTGAAAAACAACGTAAGTCAGCAAAAGAAGGATGTCAATGACTCAATGAGAATAATGTATCTGACTGCAGTCATTTATCAATTTGTTAAAATTCGGTGTCAGATTGCTTGTAACAATTATTTGGCGTTGCTTGGTAAATTTGTCTTATAAATTGACTAACATTTGTCGTACCGCATGAATTCTTTTTTCCGGCCGCATGTGGGGCAATAGTTTGACCACCTCTGATTTAGAAAATGCCAGGTTTACCACACCATAGTGGACGGATCCTCCAAAGAGCCAAATACACGAATGAGTAACGACAACCAACAGTAACACGCAACAAACGCCAATATACGACTTAACAAGATCTGTAGACAATCCCTGAAAACATTAATGCAAGAGAATGCGTGGAAAGACGTGTGCTATACTTTTTTGTATGGAAAGATATATGCGTTATATTTTGAGATTAAAAGTTGAAGCAATCACTTACTTAGCTTCAGTCTTTCGCCTGAAAAAAATAGGGTTTTCTCTTTCCCCCTTTCTCTTTTTTCTTGTTGATGACCGACTGTGTTTGTGAGTTGTTGTATTAGAAACACGTGTGTAACTCCTGGTAGAATATTAAAATGTCCCACTACAAGAAAATGGCCGGACTTAGCAATTCACCTGTTCCAGCAAGATGGTCGAACTCATTGTCCTTACGCAACAAAAAAACACTAACTATATATATATATATATATATATATATATATATATATATATATATATATATAATTAGTGGTTTTTTTTGTTGAAACGTAATATATATATATATATATATATATATATATATATATATATATATATATATATATATATATATATATATATATCTTCACTGGATGACTATATATATATATATATGATTAATGTGAGTAAAAATATGTCACTTAGCTGATTGATGTTACCTTCAGCATCCTGAGTTCAGAGTTTCATAGATGGACCTGTCCATCTACACTTCAAGAGTATCAACAATTTACTGCTTATATTTTTTCAATTTTGTCCTTATATATATTTAACACTGGTGTAAGTTTTCTTCCGTATTCTCTGTTTTCGTGTGTGCGCTTGTGCGGGGCATGCGCGCATCTCTGCGATGTGCGTTCGTTAGTGTGCTTTCGCTCATGTGCGTTCGCTCGTGTGGGCCTGCCTGCGCGGATGTGCATAAGTGGAGGAAGACATAGTCATTTTGCCCTTTTCTTTTTTTTTTTTTTTTTTTTTTTTTAAACTCGCGCATTTTGCCGTCTTTCTTTTTCCTATTTTTTTCTTTTTTCAGACTGTAGATGATTTTATCTGGGTTTGTTCCACCTTTAGAGATGTGGCAGATTTTTATTTTTATTTATGGGCATTTACTTTTTTTTGTTTTTGCTAGATAATTTGT